TTTGACAATACCCATACAATAGTTACAATTAGTGTATAGATGTTAACTAAATGCATCGAGAAAAAAGATATACTTCTGAAGTAGCTAGAAATAGTGAGCAGTATTGAGTAATAACAACATTTCTTTAGATCAGTTCTTTTCCTTCATATGTTATCTTGGACTATTATTATCAGAGGTGTATCAGTTCGGTAATGATTTTAAACCGAGAAACTGTTGAAAACGTTCTCGGATAAGAATTGATCTTCCTGTACGATTCATCGAAGAGAAACTGAAGTGTGAAAACGATTCTTGGAAATGAGCTGTCCGAAAAATTTCATTCCTCGAACAGAACAATAATATTCGAATAGTTCATCTTCGAGAACTATTTCCACAAATCAGTTTTTTTTATCAAAAGAACGTTTCAAAAGTTCATGGGCTCATTTGGTCTGAATTTATCAGCTAGAGTTGATCCATACCTACTTATTATCTTTACAGTAAAGAAAATATACAAAGCTTTGTAAGAGCAGATATAAATATGTAGAACTGAAGCAAATGAAAGAAGTGCAACGAAACATGAAGAAGGATAGAGAAGTGTAGAAGTATGCCTCATCTTTGTTCATTGAATATTAGACTTTTGGTTTCTGTGCTGCTATAAATATACTAACTATAGATAGAAAATAAAGTTTATAGCTATTAGAAGATTCATGAAATTCTAATTTCTCAAGCAGAGAGCCATCATTTCGAAGCGTATAAATGAGTGAGATCGAATGATGACATTTTTTATAGACAACGCATAAAGATAAGTATTACAAAAGTCTCAATAACAAATAAACTTTCTAGTTCTGATTTTACTTCCAGCTATGATTGGTATTAATAAATTTTGTTTAACTCGTTTATTGAATTTCACTCATCTTATTCTTTTTTTTACTCGTTTTCTTATCATTCGTATTCATTTACATTAGGGACGTACCCAGAAAAATCTCGTAGGGAGGAGACTCAGCCTCTATTTTCCATGAAGCTGAATATAAACGATTTGTTAAAACATGACTGTGACTTTTTAAATGTTGATAAAAGCCGTTCGATTTATAAAGAGCTTTTTTCCAATGTTGAAATCCATTATTGACGGATGCGTCAGTTTGAGACTTTTTATTTGATGATGGCATTGGTGCACTGAAATGACGGCGATAATAACAGTAACTAGGACTTCTTTGGATTGAGTATCTAACCATGGTCGTCCATAGAACCAAGTCGCCATGAATGATCGATTTTCATGATTTCTTGGATAAGAAATAAGCTTCAGTTGAGCCGGTGGATCTTGTCATGAATGAATGATATCAATAATATCGGTAGATTTCTCACTATTAAGTCTTTTCTTTAAGGTGTATGTTTTGTTCGTTTTCAATGTTAGCGCTTTGAGTAGAGGTGCAGAATCTAGAGTAAAAAGGGAAAACTCTCTCGTACGCAAAACTGAGTCGAAGAATTTCTGTAGACTCACTAGTTTTGAACAATCATTTCTAGATAATAGTTGTCAAAAAGGTTTCTCCAAAACAGTATCTTTTTGAAAATTTTTCTCACTGAGAAAAATTTCCCTAAATGTCCTTTCTTACACACTGATAGATTCTGCATTTCTGATTTTGAGATAATTTCATTTGAGAAGTTGTAGCAAATCCATCATTAGTGACAGATGTATAGAATCACGTGGGTAAAGTTAGCACCAGTTTCGAGTTTTTGCTGTCCGGATTCGTTCATGTACTTGAGTTATATTTCGTTCAACTTGAGTTACATGCAGAATTTTACGTCGAATCCGATGGTGTAATGATCAAGGGGGTCATCGAGCAAAAACTAGCACTTGACCCCGAAATACTGAATTTTTCAAAATTTTTTGAAAAGTATTTGCTGTCCGGATTCGTTATTTTACTTGAGTTGGGTATAAAAACGGTTGAGTTGGATTCAGCATGAAATTCTGCATCGAATGATATCGATTCAGTATGGGGTCATCGGGAAAAAATTTCTCATATGGATGAGGGTGAGGGTCACCATGAGGGGGTGTGGCTGGGTGAGGTGAAAAATTTTTGCTCGATGACCCCATATTAAATCGATATCATTCGATGCAGAATTTCATGCTGAATTCAACTCAACCATTTTTATACCCAACTCAAGTAAAATAACGAATTCGGACAGCAAATACTTTTCAAAAAATTTTGAAAAATTCAGTATTTCGGGGTCAAGTGCTAGTTTTTGCTCGATGACCCCCTTTGATCATTACACCATCGGATTCGACGTAAAATTCTGCATGTAACTCAAGTTGAACGAAATATAACTCAAGTATATGAACGAATCCGGACAGCAAAAACTCGAATCTGGTGCTAACTTTACCCACGTATGTTAATTAGATAATTGTGTAACTGTATTTCTTACTAATGATGTTCGTTGTTTTTTGATCTTCATTATTCTGAAAAATTGAATCTTGTCTAGATTTTCCAAACGCTTGTTTTTTGTGTACTCAAAAAGTGAGTACACTCTAGAATCGGTCAGTATGTCCGTCCGGCCGTTTACACGATAACTTTCGAAAGGAGAGTCCGATCACGATGAAATTTTCTATACAGTTCAGTCTTTACAATATCTCGGTCGCATTCGAAGATGAGAAGGATCGGCCGAGCCGTTCCTGAGTTATTACAAAAATACCCATTTTTCCCTATAGCTTCCTATGGAAATATCGACCCATCGCCGCTTTCGTAAAAGACTTTTCCTATCATAGTCAATTAAAATCCCAACTATTATATACCATTCGATAGAGAATTTCAAGAGCTACAAAATGATATATAAAACATGAGGAAACAGGACGATTATCTCATCCATCGCAAAGATAAATAGGGAAGAATCGGTTCTATTTTTGTGCACACTCTAATTGATCACCAATTAGAGCTCTATCTTTCGACCATAGAGATGATAATCGAAGGTTTTCTGGGGCGGAGAACTAGAATCTGCACTAAACTTGGCTCGAAGCCCCATTGGTTGAGTATTGACCAATAGAAATCATGTTATAGAAAAAACGACTTTCTGAGGCTAAATAAAGCCGAGCAGGTGAAATTTGAGGTCTATACGCTCCTAAGTTCTACGGTTGAACAGTAGGCAATGGAATTCAAGGATTTATAGAAAGGGTTTGCCGCGCAAATTTTTATATCCAGACATTCTAGGATGACCGATTTGTCTCATTCACTTTTTGAAGTACACATAACTCTCGGATATAAATCCGAAATTTCCACATTTATTTATTGCTGAAGTTGCTTTTTGCTTTAATAATTTCTCATATAATTGTTTTGTTAAATATACTCGTTTTGGTCTGTCACTATTTAAAGTACGGTGCTGTTCTAAACCATTGCTCACATTTATTAGACCATGTGATTGAATAAGACTTTGTGATGATATTGCACCCTGGAATATTACACCTTGTTGAAATTTATCTGTTTTTGCATTTATTACAGCTGCTTTAATGTCTTCATCTGCATCTAGCCCATATTCCATCGTTTCTTTGTTATGAAAACTTTGAAGAGTAAATAAGCCTGAAAAATCACAATTCACAACATGATTTCCTTTTTTTGCCCTTTTTCTAGCACCAAACTTTTTTCTTAATAGTTTTGCACATTGCACACGTTGTAATTTATCAAAATTATCCAGGTTTAGTGTTTTTTTTTAGTACCACCTTAGTTTTAACTTTTAAGCTGCTCGATAAACTGAAGCTGGATATGATGTAAATTGTTCTCTTTCGACACTAACATCAGCTTCTTTAAATAAAAAGCTTTCTGTTTCAATCTAAGGTATTTACTAACACTGTCGAAATTCAGATGTTGCAATTGTGACAGGATGAGCGTAGTCTTAAGGTCACCAGCCTTCCTGTTTCGAGATGTTAATACCAAAAGTTTTTCGATTTTTAGTTTTTCATCGCTAACATAGCTTCAAAGTGTCTTCTGTCAAACACTATATAAATGAATGTCCTTCATGCCCTAGCAGAAAAACTAGCGCTATGATTGTTCTTCGTATGCAAAATTCTCCTAATAATAAGTATTAGTTCTCGTTGCAAAGTTACTGAGAGCATGGGTAGTCATGAATCTTTAGTACTGCTGAACTCAATCAATGTTCGATTACTCAAATGGGAGAAAAAAGTACGGATACATACAGGAAAATTTGTTTTTTTCGGTTTTCTTGAAATCAAGTTTTACATTAAAAAGTGCAAAATCACCACCGTTCCTTCGACATAATACACTCGATCGAGCTGCAACCTTTTGTTATACGTACTAGACCTGTGTGTGGAGCGCCCACGGTTTTCGTTTTGAAAAATATTGCACCCGTGATATATGGCAGGTTTCATAAAAGAAAACGTGTTTTTGAAGGAACGCTCAATATTTTGATCTTTTTCACGAAGAAAAGAAGATAAAAATAGATTAAAAAAAGTAGGCATCCCAAACAGTATCTGTAAAAAATTCCAGCTCTGTCGAACGTATAGCGGCTAAGAAAGCGGGTGAAGGTTTAGCCTTTGGAAATTAGATATTTCTTAGAAGGAAGTGTTCAGGAAATATGAGTTTATGACAACTTTTGCTCTACTCATCGAAAACTATCTACTATGAAGTTTCAAATATTTTCGATGAATTATTCTTCAGGAACTCCACGAAGAGGCTTTTCTGAGACGGATAGCTGTCATGCATTCGAAATTTAATTATTATCAAGGGTATATTGAAAGTTATATACAAACATGAGAATAGTTCGCTTCAAAGAAGACAATATTCAATGTTCTCACACTGAAACACGCTCCTGATTATAGTAGACAGATGGCGTAAGTCTATAAGGAAAAATTTGAAATTTTGCATGCTGTTCGATTCGTTCTTTAATTTATTATCCCATCCTATAATTTGTTTGAGCGAGTATATGCATACGTGTATATCTTGTATACCTTAATCTATTCCTAATTATATTAATATTATTCTTTTGTTTTTTTCTGATCGTAATTCTATATTAGCATTAAGATGTCAGCCATAAAAGATTCCTCATTTCGCTCATGGAAAGATAGTAATAGTGGATATTATCAAAGTATTGCTGATAATTACACACTGTAAATATGAAAATTTTTCGTTAATCATAAAATTTATTAAAAATTGTTTTATAGTTATTTATTACCCGATTATATAGTTATTGAACCAATCGTAGTTGATGCTAAAGAATTTATTGTTATTGATCGTACTCATGAAGATATTCGAATACATAGTAAAGTTTTCTATCTTGATTTTTTTATATTAAATGTTTTTTGTTTTTATTTTTCTTCAAGATACTTTACCAAATGTTGATGGAGCTACACAACAATCTATTGATGGAATAATTGGAATAATCAGTTTAATATCTGGTCAATATTTAATTGTAATTACATCTAAAAAATATATAGGTGATATAAATGGACAAGCAATTTATAAAGTTCAAACAACAAATATTATTCCTTTTGTACGAAATATGTCTCATTTAAATGAATATCAAGTAAATAAAACTGATGTTCTTTGTTTTTTTTTCTTCACCAACTAAAATAACAGAATTCTTTTGTTTTTTTTCTTTGAAGTTAAAATATAACGCAAAATATTTATCTATGATTGAACTTGTTTTACGTACAGAAGCTTTTTATTTTTCTTATACATATGATTTGACACATACGTTTCAACGACTTCAAACATCATCGCCTGATTTTCATTCAATACCGTTTCTTGAACGTGCTGATGAACGTTTTGTTTGGAATCGTTATTTATTGAGTCAATTTGCAAATGATCGAATTATGGCTCGATTTGCTTTACCAATTATTCATGGATGTATGTTCATTCAAAATAATTCGATGTATATATTTATTTAATTTTCTTTTGTTTTTCTGATAGTTGTTGCATTTAGTAAATTTAATATTAATGGACATTCATTTAGTTACGGTGTTATTTCACGACGAAGTACCTATCGAGCAGGAACAAGGTTGGCCTATAGTTTAAATGAAAAACCAAAACTTTGTTTTTTTTTTCTTAGACTATTTATTCGTGGTATTGATAATAATGGCCGAGTTGCAAATTTTGTTGAAACAGAACAAATTCTTCAATTGGATGATGTTGCTTGTTCTTATGTACAGGTAAAATGAAATGAATATAGAGAATATTTAACAGTAATAAGTAAATTAAATTAAAAAACAAAAAGTGAAAAAAATTGAAATCAATAAGAACTATTTTGATATTAATCACACTCGAACGATTGTTATTTAAAGCATTAGACAAAAGAAGTAACTTTAATAACAGGTTATAAACAAATAGTTTGACACAATTTTTGATCATTTTTAGGCTTACAGAAATTTAAAAATATTGAGTTAGTATCAGAATTTCGCGTTTCTGCTGAATATGATTGTAAAGTTATTGCAGAACTTCTGGTTTAAGAGTTCTGAATGGGATTTTTTGCGACTCATAAACTAAGTTAGGGTAAACTTCAGCGCTCTACAAAGTATCCAAAATAGACGTGCAAATTATCTTAAATACGACGAATGAAAAAGCAAACATTTCTCTATAAAATTGTATAGCAACGATTAGTCTGTCGCAAGCGATTTGTTCATAGTGAGTCTTTTAGTAGGGTGCACTGTGTCGATCTAGGTAATTGTCTTGATTCCTATAGAATACAGATTTATAAAGTGCATTCAGCCGTTCTTTAATGATCATTTTGAAATTCTTGATTCTTCTAACATTTTGAAGAGAATAATTTCGTCATAAATTCTATGCAAAAAAAACACTAATTCTTGCCATTCAAACTTGGCTTTTGCGTGTCCAAAAGTTCGTCGCATAACTACTTAATCAGAAGTCTAAGAGAAACCTTAAACATTTATTCAGAAACGACACAAAATTAGGATTTAAATTCAATATGTTCAAATTTCTAGTTTCCTTTACGAGATTGAAAAATGAACGAACATTTTGTCAAATTAATTTTCGATAACTCGTCAATGCAAGATCAGCATCATTATTATTGGCCCTTGCTGATTAAAAGTTGTCATTCTTACCGTTTTGCTCCATCGCTCGATAATATTTATGGATAAATTATGTCGAGTTAGCATTCCATGTAAAAATCTTCTGCATATAGAATTTATGTTCTCATAAATATTGAATTTTGAAATTTAAATATTTTAATTAGACCTTATGATGCTCTTGTCTATCGTTGTAGAAATCATCTTGATAAAGAATTGAACGGTACTTATCACTGGTTATTTGGGAAATTCTCTAGAGCAATAAGATCTTTTATAATACTTGTAAGGACTCGTGTGTACTATTGATGATTGTTTAATGAATTTTGTTACGAAGAATAATAGTGGTCATAACTTGATATCGAAACCTTATCGATTCTTTTTACTCCGAATAACCGCGATCAATAAGTATTCGTCTTACAAATGAAAGGACAAAGATAGACGAGTAAAGTCATTTTTTGACTTGACTTGAACTAGACCGCGAATTTTAGTAAGCAGAAGTGGTCGTTTTTGGCCTCGGTCCCAGTTTCGGTTTCGGTCAGATTAATTTTTGCTCCTGGTTTCGTCCTTATTAATATAAGTACTAGGGAAAAATGTGATATCATTTTCTCGTTGAGTCAATGAGCTCGAAGTACCTTGCACAGTCCGCATGGTTCCAAATATTCTTCCCTTTGCAGGTTCCTTAGCGTTTTTAATTCACTATTAGTTCATTTATTCTGCACCTTTAAGTATTCGACAACTCTGTTATGCACGCAAAAAGAGGGAAAATTTTACCATTGATATTGTCACGCCGAATATTGCAGTAATCGTTATTAAATAGTTTTCACATAACTTTCTGGAACACATGAGTCATGAGAATATGACATTTGAATGCAAGTTTTAGACGATTACAAAAGACATCACTCTTAATGAAAAAGTACTGTTCCTGGTTACAATAAAAAAAATTAGTTCCGGGACCGGAACTATCTTACCCACAACCAGCCGTGACTCGACTTGAGTTGGCTTGAAAATCTTTTGTAGATGACTTGGCATGACTTGACTTTTGACACGTAATGGAGAACCAGGTCATGAGTCAAATCAACAAAGCGAATAATGTTATGTGCTTTATGCGTCTTATTGTTGCCCAACTAACACTAGTTCATTTTTTGACTTGACTTCAATCATAAAAACCCTTTGACTTGTTAATCTCGATGAGAAGATGGAGTAATCTAGTAGCGATAACAATATTCAGACTGTCTGAAAATTTTTCACATCAATGCGTGACCTCGTCTGATAGTAGGTGATTTTTTCACTGTTTAATAAAGTTTAATAACTTGTTTTTAGAAACATTTTCTATTACATATTATGTGTATTCATAGACTACAACTGGAGAGCACAAGTTTCTATTTGAGGCTACACATTATTGATTTTAATAGACTATTCGAATTGATTTATTTTATTCAGATTATTAGTTTCGCAGAAAAATTGTAGTCAATTATTCTATTGTTTTTTTCTTTATTTTAATAGACACGTGGTTCAGTACCTTGTTTTTGGGTACAATTACCTGATCTTCGTTACAAACCTAAAGTCACAGTATTAACATCTAAAAACCATGTAAAGAAAACCTTCTTTATTTCATTAATAACATAAAAGCTATGATAACTATATTTTTTTTTATTAGATGAATGCATTTCGACAACATTTTGAAGAACAAGAATATTATTATGGCAAACAATTTCTGATTAGTCTTGTATGCAAAATTAATTATAGAGGTTTTTGTACAATAAATATTCATTTCAGACAAATCAACATGGAGCAGAAGGTAGATTGAATGCGAAATATCGTGAATTATATGAAACAAGTGAAAATTCTTATCTCAAGTAAGAGAAGAAAAAATATTCTTTTCTTATTTTTTCATCTTTTCAAAAACGTTCAAATTCTTTAAAATTAGATTTGAAGATTTCGATTTTCATAAAGAATGTGCCGGTATGCGTTATGATCGTTTAACAATTCTTTTAGCTCGTCTCATAGCTGATCAAGATGATTATAAGTAATGTAATGATTTATATTCAATTTTTTAAATGAAAATGGATATTTCTAATTAAGATATTTTGCCTTAACTAAAGATGGTACATCACAAGTTCAACAAACTGGTGTATTTCGTACAAATTGTATTGATTGTCTCGATCGAACAAATGTTGTACAAACACTATTAGCTAAAAGAATGTTAGAACAACAACTACAACGTTATAATATTATTAAATATAATGAAACAATTGATTCATATAAACAATTAAGTCATACATTTAAGAATAGTGAATAAAAAAGATACCCTTTTTTTATTGGTTATTAATTTAAGATTTTTATCTAATTATTTTAATATAGTTTGGGCAGATAATGCTGACACTATTAGTTTTCAATATGCTGGAACCGGTGCATTAAAAACAGATTACACAAGGTAATGAAAAATAAAACAGTATGAGAACTTCTGAAAAAAATAAGTTACAAGACTCCACAACATTTTTTTTCATACCTCAAATAGACATAACAATGTCAAGATATTAGTACTAATGCTCAGCACTTAGCTTTTAGTCCCAAGTCTCATCTGGACAACAGCCAAGTCGTAAAATGATTTTTAAGAAGAAATATTCGATAATATACAAATCAAAGAACTTTAAAGTGCAAAACTAACATTATATAAATCTGATCCATTTATTAAATAATCAAATGTATGGGAATAATCGCATGATCTCGATGCCCTCTCCAATATTTTTTTAACCGAAAATTACTACCATCTTTGCGAAAAATCTTTAAACTGTTTGACTCGGTGCATTGCTTGAGAATGTTGGATTATAACTTTTATGTTTAACTCTTTAAGGACCGTGGAACATAGAGTGTCTCACGATCCTCAAAGGTTTAATAGCTTTGATACTTCTATATAGGTATCTTTTTTCCAGATCCTATAAAAAATTGGAAACAAAGAGACTTTGTTAATTTCATCTTCCAACTCCGCAACGATCTTAGCGTTTTTGGTGTATGCTAGAGAAACCTATATCAAAAAAACGATTTTCAATGGAAATTAAAAACAATTGTAGATACGTGCAGAATACTTGAGGTTGTGCATTTTAAAGATAAAACGGGATTCAGAACGCGGAAAAACTTCGTCCCGTAAGACTCTGGACTATTGGCTGAAAAATGAAACTTAAAGAAACTGCTACGTAGTGTTAAACATGTGATCACTCGTTCTATCCCCATATGACAATGACTGATATTTTCGGGACGTTTTCTCTCGCCCCAACTGATCATTTGACATCCAAGCAGCCGTAAATGGAATGATCTTAGTCATGATCAATTTTATCTGTCTTCTTACTGTGTATGTCTTAAAAAAGAAGTGTGCGACTTCAGTATATAAAAAAAAGTGAAACAACGCTTTTTATCTTTATACTTTCATAACTTATGATGTGATAATTTGATCACTTCGCGTCCCGAATCGTATCTAATTCCATCTAAGATAGGATCTCGATGCAGTCACAAGCATTGAATGATATGTTTGTAAGATAGAAAGTTCTAATTATAAAAAGACTCAAATGGATAAAACCTTGAGATTACAAGACTCATGTATCGATCTATTTTCTTTTTATATCTATTTCAACCATAGCCTATGACAAGCAAAATGAGAAATCCATAGTTGATTTTGAATGTTTTATCTTCTTGTTTCACAGTGTAATCTCATAAGACTTATGATGATATTCTTTGTCTATTGATTTAGAACTGGTCAACGATCAATGATGGGTCTAGTCCAAGATGGTTATAATTCATGTATGCGTTATATATTAAATAATTTCTTTGATGGTTTTCGACAAGTAAGAAATAACTTGTTCTTTTAAAATCTTCTCTAAATTGTTTCGATTTTCTTCTTAAATCAAAGGATGGTATTGATCTCTTTTTGGGCAATCATCAAATATCATCCAATGAAGGTCGTGCACCAGAATCATGTCCAATTAGTAAAGAAATAAGTAAAAAATTGTTGGCATTACCAGTTGCAATGCTCATTGCGTTTTCAATGTGTATTATTAATTTATTAATACCAGCTGCAACATTTCATGAACAAGTGACTCATATTCTATTTTGGGGTGTAACAACAATATCAACATTAGCACTGACAATCTTTTGGAGACATGAATTAGTTGATGTACCTAAACTTTATTCTAAAGTGAAATATGATCCTTCTTGAAAAACGAAAAAAAGAACACTTTTCCATTGTTTTGAATTTTTTTATAATATTCTTTGTTTGCATGTAGAGTAATATATATACTTTTTACTATAATGTCTCAGTGATATATGCACTCTTCCGATAAAATTAAAATTTTTCTATTTTTTTTAGGCAACTATTATCCAGACAATATATAGACATGAGAGTGAGATTTGATAATGGCAAAACGGATGCTAAAAATACATATTGAACAATAATCATTTACTAACAATTACTAACAATATGAATAAGAGCACGTGTATAGATTAAATTACAGAATGAAAACGAATTGTGTATTGAATTTTGTGTATAATTAAATATGAATATCATTGAGTTCAATGAAAATAAATATAAGGTCTTATGTTGATGATCTACGATCGTTTTAAACATAAATTTTAATTAATGAATGTTAGTTAAAAATCTAATTAACATTTTTCTTCAATGATGAAATTATTTCATTGCTTTTTTTAAAAACCTAATCCTGATGCATGAAATGGCTATTGTAGAAGAATATTCATTGCTTTTATGAAACTCAAATATATTTTTTTGAAGGAAAACAGGCAGTGTAAATTTTAAGTCGAAGTTTCCCGACTCATTTTTCTTCCTACTCATTTTAGCAGCCGAGGAGAACTCTACTTTGGAGTTCTAACTATATGCATGTAGATCCTAATAAGCGATGAATACCTTGAGCAGTGGTCGAATCTTCAGCTGATTGCTACTAAAATGCTAGATTTTTACAAATTTTTTCAAAGGCTTCTCACTGCAAAAAAATTGACTTTTCTAAAAGAAAAACACTTTTTTGAGATAAAGATGTACACATTATTCCTAAAGTATCTAGAACTCTCCAACAGAAAGACTAACACTTAAATTCATAGGAAAATTATAATCACAATCACAGTTGTCTTCTCATATCATAGCACAACGAGTAGCTAGAAGACCACTCGATAAGACTCTAGATAAGCTTTTAATTGGTATGTAATATAATCATGCTTGATGCTTATGTTAGAAAATTCTTCATGCAAATATACAAAAAGATTCTCGAAATTCGGTTTTTGCATAATTTGTCAAAGTCGGAACAAATTTCTTTTTCGATAGTGCTCCTTCTAGTGAACGACATTGTTTTTTTTATTCGATAGATAGGTACATTCTCCTTCGGACGAGAAAGAGGAATTTTTTATTGGACTCTCGAGTTCGAAGCAATAATGAGTTTTCTAGAAAAAAATTTTCTAAGATTGCTGGAGCTTTAAGATTTTGAGCGTCTCAAAAACGAAACCAAAGTGTCATTCCCTCATCTGAAGCGATAAGGAGTTCTCTTTCAAATGAAACTAGTGCAAGCGCTGTAGCTTGAAGTATATTGAAAGAATATTTGCATGCATGAAAGCACTATTTTGCACTATGGCCTCTGGAAATCTTCTGATCAATAAGATTCAGAATTGTCAATTTTTGTATTAGTGTACTTGCATTAGTCGAACATCTTTAGAAAATTTCATAGAAACTCCATGCACTATATCGAAAACCGATTTCGGAGGACGGGGGAAGCCTTCAGTCCATACCGTTGTTTCTCTCTCAGGAACACTATTAAAATTCGTTTTCAAATATCTAATTAAAACTTGTCGTCCAGACAGATCTTACCCAGAATAGTTTATTGTGAAAGTTTTTCATCTTTAGATTTGCTCCTTTTCCGAAATAAGAACCTAAAATCTTTCAGTTTATATGAGCAGTGTACAAGACAAACTTTTATCATAGCTGTATCTTAAAGTAGGAACAACGAAATGATCTGAAACTTTCACAATAAACTATTCTCGGTGAGGTTAGTCTCCACGGAACGTTCTAGTTTGACATTTGAAAATAAGTTTTTCTAGCGTTCATGAGGGAGATCACGATATTGGCTTGAAAAATACTGTAAAAATTTAATATTTCGGTAGCAATATGCTAAAGGATCAAACCGTTTTCAGTTTATTTGTAGCTCATTAGGATCTACAAGTCTTATAAAATCTTGACTGAAAAGTGATTAATTATTTTTCAGTCTAAATAATACAATTTCAGATTTTTGCATTTATAAACTATTACATTGAATATATTAAGAATGATAACTAGTGATATATTGATTTACCATTGTTGTTGTTTAATGAACACTAAAATTGCATGAACTGATCAAATATTAATTTTTCGAAATAATCAATATCAGTATTTCAAAGTTTATCGAGCTATATAATAGCACATTAAGATCTATTGTAAAAACAATAAATTCGTACAGCAGGCTAATTCGTCTATTAAATCAATGATTAGAATAATAATAATAACAGATGATTGAAAAACATCGAATAAACAACAAAAAGAACGGCAAGACAAATAAAACTAACACGCTAGTAAATTCTTTTCAAAATAAAGAAGTGATAAGTAAAGTCGTATCTAAAATGATCGATTATTCTTGGAAGGCAATTATAGTTTGTTAAAAATTTTTCATTTTACATATTTTGTATTAATATAAGGAAGCCACATGGGAATGTTTCATATCTTGACTTCAAACAAGTTGCAATGATAAGCTCTTTTAATCTAATCCTGGCACAACTATTGTAGAAGAAAATTTCATCGTTTGTTTTATTTATATTTAAATGCAATCAATTTCGCATATGATATTTTTTTTCCAAATCAATGAACAATTAGATAAAATTTGATTACTGTAATTGATTACTACTTCTGTTAATCACATGAACTCAATATCCGACTAATTTATAATTATTCTTCATTTAAGATAATATGTGTTTTTGATCACTCGGATTTTGACGGTAATTTCCAACTTTAGATGTCTTATGTTTACTATCTTAAACGACTTTTTCATCTTACACCAAAACATGATCAATCGTTAATTATTCGCAATGTAGCTTATTTTTCTGGTTCTGATGCACATACCAATAATAAATTGGATATTTTTCTTCCTTGTCCTAACACAAATTTATCAATAAGAACAGCAGATGAGCAACAAGCAACAAGTAAAAAGCAAATTCCTATTATTGTTCATATTCATGGTGGTGGTTGGGTTCGTGGTAATCGTACAGATGAGTGGCGTGGTGGTCCAACTGTAGGTCGAACATGTGCTCATGAAGGTTTCGTTGGTATAGTTGCCTCCTATCGTTTAGCACGTATATCTCTTATATCATTTATTGCTTGGTCATTTGTTTTTGGTCTTGTTGTGATTATTATTGGACTTAGTTTACTGTCATGGCAATTTATAACTGGTTATGTAGCATTTATGACCTTTGCTTACGCTTATAATTTTCTGTATAGAGTGCGCATACCAGTCAATGTTGAACATGTAAGTGAACTTGTTATTAACGCCAAAAAAAAAGAGGCAGGTTAATGTTTTCTGAATAACTTTTGTTCGGAATGAGATGTCTGACCAATCAAATGAGTTTTGGTCGGAAATTTTGAACATCATTTTCTGGAAAACTGTCCAGTTCGGTTTTGATTTATGTTGTGACTAATCTATATTAAAAAAAAAACTTTTCTCTTTCATTCTATGCAGAACCATCGTGTCTAAATCATTCTCCGCAAGAGTTACACGAATTTTTCGAAGCCTCTAATGTCGACCTAGTGATCCTAGAACACTCCAAAATAATCTAAGACATGCATCATTTACTACACTGAGTCAAACACTAATACTTGTATGTAGTTTCAAAACGATCTCAAATCATTATATCAAGACCTTTGAAAAATTAACTGTCCATGATATAGAAGCAAAACATCAGATTTCAAGTATTCTTTATAGAGTGATTCTAGATCGTTTTGAAACTAAAAACAAACATAACAGCTCGAATCATTGTAGTGAATTACGCATGTCTTGACTTCTTTCACAGGGTTTCGAGGTCATTAGACCGAAACTAGGGATCTTCGAAAAATCCGTGTAACTCTTGAGTAGAACACGTTAGACATGGTCAATTTGTGTAGAGCAAAAGAAAAGAGTTTTTTTCTATCGAACAATCACAGCTTTAGTTAAAAACCACCTGAAAAGTTCTCTAGAAAACTTTTTTCAAAAATTCTTCACAAGAAGTCATATAATTGAGCAACTGTCTTATTCTTGTCGAAAGTTACTGAGAAAACATTGACTTGCCTTATATTTTATCCTCAATAATCGATTAATACAATTGATAAAAATATGTATGTCTTTCAGATGATGGATGATTTGTGTCGCGTACTTGTATATATTCGTGATCATATAAATGACTACTGTCCAGATGCTGATCCAAATCAAATATTTCTTTCTGGTCATTCAGCTGGTGCACATCTGGTTAGTTTACTTGTTCTTGATAAATCTCATTTACGACGTCATGAATTTCCTTTGTCAATAATACGTGGTGTTATATCTATGAGTGGCATATATAGTCTAGCAAATCCAGTACATGATTCAAAAAATAATATACGTAATTTAATATTTCTCATATTTTATTCCAATAATTTACTTTATCCTGAAGGAAAACAAATGACTGAATATTCACCAATTGAATATATAAAACAAGATGACGAAATACCACCATTTTTAGTTATGTCTGCACAATTTGATATGGGTTTAGAAATTGATGCAAAACGTTTTGTAGAAAAACTTCAAAATTATCAACATTCTGTTGATTATGTTACTGTTAATAGTACACATGGAACAATTGCAACTAAATTTGCAAAAAATGATGCACATAAACATTTTTTTACATTCATTCGTCAGCATATGAATTATTAAAAAAAAGAAACATAAAAATAATTTATTCTTTCTATTGAGTCATTAAATTAATTGAATAATTCTATCGACTGTTTAGCTGAATAATAAAAATAGTAATCATTCAGAGACATACTTATCATTATTTCTATATACAAGATTCATATATAAAATTATAATTCTTAAGATTGAAAGAAGATGATGCTCATAGAGTTCATCCTTTGTCTTCAGTCTTTCCTATGGAAGATTAAACGTTAAATAAACTTATATAAAAAATATTAATTTTGTATGAGTATAAGCAAATACAAAAATACAATATGATTCACAATGCTAAAAATAATAAGTGATATTAAAGTTTTGTATCACTTCTGTTTGAAAAAATAGCTCATAATGTCTTCTTCGAAATTTATTTTTTTTTTAACAGTTTCAATAGAACATAGATAAATAATTAATTTGTTTTCATTATTTTCCATGGCTGACGAGCACTTGCGAAATATTCTGAAACACTTGTGTCCTTAACTTTTTTTTTCTAAACAACAAAAAAATACTTTTAGTTCAAGTACATAGATCAACAGCCTATTAAAAACCATTCATCGTATACTTTCCAAAAAAGACTGAACTTGACTTCTCCCGAATATTTTCAGACATCGAAGTTCATTGATAACTACTGAATTATTTTGTAATTTATCTTATTCAATCATAATTTTAATTCTGAATAGCAATTATCATGTGTGAGATTTTTCTGGAATGATATCATGTGAAATTACTGAATGACAAATCATGTTTTACTAGTTTGTCGAAATAAATGTGAAAGCGATTTCTTCTATGCAAAAAGGATCAGATAAAATAATAGACGATAATACCTTGTATTTCGATTCCAGATGAAGAAGATTCATTTCAAGGCTAACAGCTCTGAGATATCTCAGCCTGTTAAGCATTGATTTATTTGTCTTCTTTTTAAAGAAGCATATTATTGATGTATAATTGTTATTTGTCTCATCATTAAATATGATTTGATTACTTGTCTTATGAATATATTTCAATGTAATTCGGATTAATAATGGATTACAGCTCCTGATTTAAATATTGACTTTAAACGAAAACTTGATTGTCCAATAATAAATTAGATACATAATACTATCGATACTATCTGCTTATTTTTCGCATAGGAAAAAAAATAAATATATAATGAGGATACTCAGTTGTATTGATAATTCATGAGAGGAGGTTTTTTATAGATACGTCAAGCAGGACCTCAAACAAAACGATAATAAAAGAAATCAATTATAATTTTGTCTGAAATTATTTATGAGATATATTAACAATATATGAATATATCTCTTCAAGAAATATTATTAATAATATTAATGAACAGAACAAAATTACTTCGAAAAATAAGGTCTCATAAAAAATTAAATTATCCAAAATTATTCACACTAACACCATCTATAATTTTCTATAATCAAAATTTGTGAGAGGTTTATAGTCAAAATTTCATTTGTTATTTATATCTAATTAGCAAATAAAATAAATCAGCCAATTGTGTTATGCCGAGTTGATCCGCATCATCATTTCAATATATATTTTTTTTTCTATTCCATTATATTTGTTCTATTTACGCAATAAAAATATGCCATTTTTTCCCTTAGATAAATGCATCCAGTAGGACAACAACAGCAACAACGACGTGGTAATTCAACTCGAATGCCATTAATGTATTCAAATTCTTTACCACCTGCACCATTATTATCAGGTCCTCCTCAAACATTACGTTACGGAGTTATTAGTAATTTTCAACAATCAACAACGGGAAGTGGTGGTGGTGGAATGAAACATCATCAACGCGGAAGTGGAAATCGTGGTGGTCGAGGATCAACAACAATTCATCGACAACAACGTCCAACAGCTGGTTCTCGTTATCATCCTTATCAATTTCGACCGCCTTTACCTCCTCAACAACAACGTTCCTATCGTCCAGCACACCCATTACCACGTACACCTGCTGCATTGATGGGTAAATATTAATTCATTTCATAATTGAACAAATATTAATTTATATTTAATACTTTTTTAGGTACACCACCTGGTATGTCACAATCAGAATATGAATTAATTCATTCGGCACAAGTTCAACGTGATAAAAAGAAACTTGATGTATTAGCACCATCGAATACAACACAATTTCTTATACGTGATCACAATCGTCAAACACCATCATCAATAGCAACACCAACACCAACTCATCAAACAAGTAAAATAATATGTGGTTTTTTTTCATAATACTAAGCAAATAACTCAGATCTAGATAGTATTTTAATAGTCAATGAAGTTTTCTATCTAATACATTATGTAGACAGATTTTTAGAAAAAAAAACAGAACATGGTAGTTACTTAGAGCTCAGAAGTCTATTTTTATAATAATGCTATTTTAAAGATCACAAAATGAGGGATCATCTTATTTTGTATCCCTTAAAATCCTATTGTTAATAAATAAACTCCTAGGACCTGAATATTATAGAATTCGCATATACTTAACATTAGACAAGAAAAACACATTGTTGTTACATTTTTTTTTCTATTTAAAGCTCCTTCTCCATCCACTACACAAGGTCAACCATCGGTCCCATATGATCAAATGTTCGAAATGAATGATGCTGATGCACAAAGTGATGATACTGAAAGTAATCAAGGTGTCGGTTTTGGTGATGTTGATCCGTCAGTTGACGATGATTTTAATGATATTTATTATCAATGTCGTTATGAACGTTATGCAGCATTTAGTCGAGCTGCTTTACTTAATGAAGTTTTATCACTATGTGCTAATATTGATCGTTTACAACATGAAAAAAGTGAAGTTGAAAAACGTTTACGTGATGTACAACAGCATCTTTATGATTTAACAACAGCATCAAATAGTATTCAAGAACGTTCAATACATGATGAAGGAAATCAAGCTCATGAAGATCAAACTCGAGTAAGAAACGAAAAAAGAAATATAGTTTAATATGCAACTTATTATTTTTTTTGGTAAATTTCAATCGGATTAATATGAATATGTAGTCCAAAGAAACATTACCAGTGATAATACTTCTTTTTATTCAAGAGATGCTTTCAATTGTTTTAAACTCATTGATGATTTCGAAAGACCATGCGAATAGATTAATTATTTTAAGTATAGTTAAAACAAATTACTATATAGTAGAAGAATTAACAGAGTTATTAGCGATTGTATATTACATGATAAGTCATCTGTACAATGTTTGACAACAAATCAGAGTATCATTTTCTAAGTTTATTAATGAAGGAGAAGGCCGAAGATATAAATCTAAGAAAAGAATCAAACAAGGAAACACATTTAGATGTCGAATGGCATTCAACTTCATATTATTACTATGAGTAAATCTTGGTGAGATTAAGGAATACTCAAAAGCATTCGAACGTATGGCTTACTGATATCTACTATTTGAGCTCGTATTGTGTTCACAAAGAGATCTCGGAAAGACTAGAAAAATCCTAAAAGGATTTGTACCCATGAGCCTCTCGTGTTAAGTTGTGACCATGATACTGAACTCTCGATTCACCTTTAGGTATTTACCTAAAAGTCAAATAAAAGAAATTTCAATCTGAAATTTTGCTTACAGATACATCTAATGACTCTGGAAATATTCTGAAAATTTCAACCGAAAAAATATTCATGTGTTAAGATAAGGAATTTTAAAAAATGGTCGTTTGCTACAAAACTAGCGTTTAATTGAAAATTCAATATCTTAACAAAACAATATTCTTTTTTGGATGAAAGTTTTAAGATATTTCCAGAGAAATTTTAGATTGAAATTCTCATATTTGATTTTCTATAAGTACTTAACAGTAAATCGTAAATTTAGTAAAAACAGTCATAAATTGGCTATAGTGGTCTATGAGAATAAACCCATTTAGAATTTTTCTAATCTTACTGAGAGCTTTTGGTGAGTTCAAGGCATACCCATAAAAATTAAGACAAATAGTTTAAATCTAAGATTTTGTGAATAAGTAATTTTAGTAGTTATTATATAGTTCTGAAAATTTCAATAAGAACGAAACATGTCTTTTGTGAGATATTCAATTTAAGAAAATAAACAGTGATTTATTAAAGAACAACACAATAATCGAATGTACTTGGAAATTGAATACTTTAAGAAAGACATGTTCATTTTTGTTGAAAATTTTATGAAAGCGGCCAATCAGTAGGCCTTGGATCTGAATCTTTTTCATTTTTTCTTAGTTTCATAAGGGTCTAGTCATAACTATAAGGGGAAGGCAAACGACATCTAATAGCTAGATATGTTCACTCATAAGAGTCTATCAATTATTAGAGCGTCTTTCAACAGTTCTTTTTTAATTGACTTTTTTTTGCAAAGGAGGAAACTTTACCAATTGATAAATCTTTTCGAGAATGATCCTTACATCAATATAGTGAGTTTTTCAACAATATGTCGCATTCATTTCTGACTACTTTCGAATTTGCAGTATTCAATAGGAATAATTTATTCATAAGAAGTATCATCTTTTGCCAGTATTTTCTATCCGTAGATATTACTATTAAAAATTCTGTTATTCGACAAAGAAAATTTTACTTCTAGTATTTATATTTTATATATGCGAAATGGGAACTCGAAAGTCGATTTTGATGGTCATAGAATCATCTCCCAAACACGTTTTTACTTGATGAAGTTCTTTTCTAGGTATCCAGAATTTATAGAAGAATTGAAGAATAAAATTTAACTTTTTACTAAAAGTTTTATTCCATTTGAATATTTATTGAATTAAAAAATTTTATTTTCAGTTTCAGCCTCCATTAAATGATCAACAACAAAATGATTCGAATAATCCTAATGAAACTAATCATGTAGATGACGAATTACAAGCATCAACATCATCTCAACCAATTATAACTGAACATAAAGAAACGGATGAATCATTAATAGAAACAAATGTATCAGAAAATAATGAAAGTGAACAACAAATCATTCATGACTAAGTTTATTATTTTACTTTATTTTTGTTTCGTTTGTATAATTATGTTGTATAGACAAAAAAAATATATATAATGTAGAAGAAAAAAGAAAAAAAATATTCTCTCAATTGTTTTTTTTTTGTCTTTTCTAGATCATTAATATGATCCGTCCAAAAACAATTATTAGTATTTTTCTTATTTTGACCATATCGATTGTATTCACAGTCGATAGTCTTGCTGTGATGTCAATCGATCTCGGTATAGAATATATGAAAATAGCTATTGTAAAACCTGGTATACCAATGGAAATTGTATTAAATAAGTAAATTTTGATAATATATATATATATACATATATATTGATGTTCTGTTTGAAATTTATAATTGTTTTTTCGTTAATATAGAGAAAGTCGTCGAAAAACACCGGTTATTGTTGCTATTAAAGGCAAAGATCGTGAATTTGGTGAAGCAGCTATCTCTCGAGTAAGGATAATTATTATTGTTTGTTTATTTTCTTTCAAATAAAAGAATATTATCTTTATTTAGTCAAGTAAAATTCCATCACAATCTTATATGTATTTACGTGAATTAGTTGGAAAATCATTAAATAATCCGGTTGTTGAACAATATTTAAAACGATTTCCATATTATAAATTAAAAACTGATGCACATACAAATGAACTTGTTTTTGAGCATGATAGGTAAATGAAAGTTTATTAATTTCCTTACAGTTCGAAAGAATATAATCTATGAAATTATTTCAATCTTAAGCCAATGAAAGATTCTTAATAGAAGATGATTACACTAACAATTGTAGTTGTGTAGAATGCTGAATTATATATGTAAATAATATTCAGAACTATTTCCTGTTCGATGATAAATCGCGAAGACGCTTAAAAATATTAGATTTTGTCATTCTGATCATATCAAATTATTTAGTTGATTTCTAATTGAAAAGTTACAATTTTAGCTAACAACATAGATCACACAGAAAATCTCCAAGATTACTTTTTTTTTCAATTTTTTATCTAATTTTCCAAACTATATGTATAAAATATCTATTCATGGACATGATAATATAATAGTCTGTAGAGCATAAAGATCATGATGGTAGAGAGTTCACCATGGTTGACACACACCTGAAGGTACTATGTTTCGAACCTTGGCACTACCAGTCATGAAATAAATCTGGGCAAGATATGAACAGCTGTTTGCCTCGGATTATTTATCCGATAGCATGTTGACTACATAATGATTCTTGTGATTAGTCAGTACATATGAAGAACTCAAGGAATCGAGCACGAGAGTTTTGAGACTGGACGGTCTTCTATCCAGAGCTGTAGTTATTAATCGTTATAGACAAAATATCAGACTGACGAAGTTGTCTTCAAGCAGAATTTGAGTACCGAAAAGTATTGAAAAGGAGAAATATTCTATTTCCTAAAATTTTAGAGTGAGAGTGTAAACTTATTCAATGTTTGATGACAATCATTAAAAATTTTTCATATTTTTAAAAACATTTAAACTGAACATATGAAGATTCATCTATACTTCTCGAATATTTATCTTTGATCATGAATCTTTGAATCAATATACATTCATATGAGACGTTGATTGTATAGAGTAATATTTTTTTTATACATAATATAATTTTATTTCTAGTGAAACAAACTATACTGTTGAAGAACTTCTTGCAATGATATTAAAAAAGGCACGTGAATATGCAACAGATTTTGCTGAACAATCTGTTGATGCTGCTGTTATAACTGTTCCACCATACTTTACACAAACTGAACGACGTGCTATTAAACGTGCATGTGAATTAGCAAATATAAAATTACTTCAATTAATGAATGATAATACAGCTGTTGCACTTAATTATGGTATATTTCGTCGTAAAGATTTTAATTCAACAGGTTCAACTTATTTATTTTATGATATGGGTTCACAATCAACAACATGTACAATAGCAACATATAATATTGTTAAAACAAAAGAAAATGGTTATGTTGAAGAAGTACCACAATTAACAATAAAATCAGTTGCATTTGATCGTGATTTAGGTGGTTTAGAATTTCAAATACGTTTACGTGATTATTTAGCAAAAAAATTTCATGAACATCATCCAAATATAGATTTATTTCAAAATTCCAAAGCATTAACAAAATTATTTCGTGAAGCTGGACGTGCTAAAAATGTTTTAAGTGCTAATAATGAATATACAGCACAAGTTGAAGGTTTAATTGATGAAATTGATTTTAAACATCGAATAACACGTGAACAATTTGAAAAATTATTTGAAGATCTTTTTCAACGAGTTAAGCAACCTATTGAAGAAGCACTTAATACAAGTGGAATTACTTTGGTAAGAATCATAGATTTATTTGATAAGAAAAAGTCAAGAAAAGAGATAAGATACTCAATTAAGGAGAATATTTTCTTTGTTAATATACGAATAAAACAATCTTGAAAATATGAGTAAAAAAGAAAATACAATTGCTAATTACGATTTTCTCATTTCAGAATAGGTGCCATCAAAACATTTGAAACTTTCACAATCAACTATTTTCGTTAAGGCTTGCCTTTGTACAAATTTTCAAGGCGAAATTTGAAAGTAACTTTTCCTGATATTCCTAAGGAGAAATATTGCATTCTGCTAAAAAATAGAATATCTCGGCAGTCATAAGCTATACGTTCAAACTGTTTTAAAAGTATTTATAGATTAATAGAATCTACTGAAACGTTTCCTAGTAAATGACACATACAGTTAAATAAACTTAGGTCGCTACCATCAATTCGAGATCAATTGATCTTAGAATAAAAATACTAGTTTTTTGTTGTTGGATCTTACAAAAGACTTCTTTTAGCACTTTTCTGGTTGACTATTAATATAAAGAGTTTATATTCATCTTTTTTATTGATAAATAATGCTCCATGGATGTTTACTGTGCCATAGATAAGAAACTTTAATCTAGTGTAGTTTTGACTCGTAGCAACGTGGCCAATATTTATCACTACCTTCGCATAAATCTTGACTCTTTCGATGGCTATAGTCATGAAATTTTCAGAGCATACTCGATTAGAACAAAATAATAATCGATACTAAAAGTTGATTTTTTTGATGAATTCCATCCACTCATATGCGAGGGAAATTTTATAAATCGGACCAACTACAATCGTTTTGCATTACATTTTTGTCTTTGACAGAGATAGCACTGAGGTTTTAAATAAGGAGGCAAATGCTGTGGAACTTCTTGCTAATGCTGACATATTCTTGTCTGAATGAACAATCAAATGTTACCTTTCTAGCAGATTTGTATGTAAGTAGACATGTTCAAGCTTTGGTAAAAACTTACTCTGCACATCTCCACATGAGAAGTCGATCAAGTTTTGATTGTTGTTTGCGATAAGAGTATATCGAGGGCCTATTTATGACGAAAAATACGAGCTCAAAGAATTATCGCTTAGATACTTTTTATTCATAAGTGGAATTTTGACAACTATTGTGTTATCATGCTAATTGGTTTTTAAATTAAAATCTTTTTGTATTGCTTCCACTATGATCTTATGAATCTCATGATGTTTTTAGTAGACAATTACTATTGTTATGCTATTTCGATCATCTTATTTATTCTTGTTCTTTATTTAATAAAAATCTATCCAAGTATTCATTTTTATTTTACTTTTAGGATGAAATTCAACAAGTCCTTCTATTCGGTGGTTCAACACGTATTCCACGTGTTCAACAGGAATTAAGCAAATCTCTTGGCGGGTTTGTTTTCATATAAAAAAAAAAATTCTTTTTGATCAATATTAATTTGTTTCCTTATAGAATTGATCTTGGTAAAAGTTTAAATACCGATGAAGCTGCTGCTATGGGCGCTGTTTATCAAGCTGCAGCACTTTCAAAAGGTTATCGTGTTAAAAGATTTCTTGTTAAAGATGCAAATCAATATCCAATAAATGTTCAATTTGAACGACATCCTGATCCAACAATGGAAAATTCTGAACAAAAATTAATTGATCGAACATTATTTCAACGAAATAATCTTTATCCAAATCGAAAAGTGATGACATTTAATCGACATATTGATGATTTTTCATTTGATGTTCATTATGGCGATTTAACATATCTTTCAGATACGGATAAACGGTAAAAATAATGAACGAAATAAAAAAAAACAAACAATAAAAACAAATATTTTATTTTGAATTATTTTTTAGTGCACTTGGTCAAACTGAATTATTTCGTGTAAATGTTCTTGGTGTTCGTACAGCATATGAAAAACATAAAGATACAAGTGAATCAAAAGGTGTTAAAGCACATTTTCAATTAGATGATAATAGTCTTCTTGTTCTTGATCGAGTATGTTCTATAATTTATACAACATCATCTTATAATATTAATTGAATAAAATTTTAGATTGAATTTGTTTTCGAACGAAAAGAAACTGAAGCCGATAAAAATAATACAACTAATGATGAAGATGCATCAACATTATCAAGTAGAGATATTTATTTATTGCAATAAAAATTTATCGATTGGTATCTTCTTTTGTTAATTCATAGAATTAGGTAGTAAAATTTCAAGTTTCTTTTCATCATCTGGTTCATCAACATCGGAAAATGATACGAATAATGCAACAAATACTACCGATGAAAAAATTCCGACTGTAATCAAAACAATTTTCTTTTTTTTTTGTAATAATAGAATATTTCTTTTTAGAATAATACTGAGACAAATAATGATGAACAAACAAAAAAATCTGTTGATGAAAAAGGTAAACATATTTATTTATTATACTAATTGAGATAAGGTTTTTTTCTAATAAAGAAGGAACTAATACAACTGATAATACAACAACAACCACAACAACAACAACAACAACAACAACGCCAGCACCACCAAAAACAATAACAATTCGTGAACCATTAGAATTTCGTGTAGAAATGCTCGATTATGCTGATCCAACTTCAGAAGCTCAAGCTAATTCAATGAAAAAGTAAATAATATGAAATATTGGAAACGAGAACAATGATGTATCTTGAAGGAAGAAAATTTCTATTTTATAAAATATGATCTAAAAGAAATATTAAAGCATAGGAGTAAAAATTTGAACCGTCATCCCTTGTACCGATCGTGACAGACATAGTTGATATGCAATCAAAGTCTGTATATCAATAACATCTCATCATAATATATGAATTACTTCTCTATTGCTTTCCCGAGATCAAGTAAAGTATACTAAAAAATTATGTCCTAAAGCGAATAAAATAAAACAATTTACCTATGATCAGCAACAGCGGCTATATCGTGTTTCACGTATATCTTTAGAAAAACATCTAAGTTCGACCAACTTTTTTTAAAACCTAATAAAACAAATTCTAATTCTGCTTTGTGGCTTACAAGAAAACCTCGTCAGACGTCTCCTTCCCAGATAAATAATTGTTAACCTATAGATACTACATAGTTTTCTAATAAAAATCGTAAAAAGATTTGAGTTCTTATTCAGATTTGACTATGCTATCAAATTTTGAAATATGTCTATTTTTCAGAAATCCCAGATATTCAAAAAAATAATATTTTTGAATTTTGATCTGAAATTTTGCGCATGTAGAGAACTTAAGAGAGAGTCCACCACAGGATCGAGAAACCCCATACTCCCAAAAAAAAATTTTTTTTTTACGGATTAAAAACTTTTTGTTTTAGGCTGGTTTTGTAGCTTTTTTATTTGCCCATCCGATGTACGATCCAAATTTCTGGGATCAACTAATCTTGAGAGATAATTTCTCAAAAATACTGATTTTTGCTTGATAACTACGTCGTATCAATTTTGACTTAATCAGTGTGTAGTCATCAGTGTGGTCTGCATAACTTTTTTGTTATATAATCAATCGAGCAAATATTTTGGGTAGAGTAGTTTCACCTCATGGGCTATCGATTCCACAAATAAAATGAGGTGGCCAAAATTTTCGGGAGTATGGACCCTTTAAAAATTCCTCGATGATCTCATGGACACCCTCTTAATTAGAGTAATTTCCATTGAAAAATTCAGAAGTTTTCAACAAAGTCTCTTCAAGAAATGAGACTTACAAGAAATAAATTGTTTGCCCTGAATAGTCTAAATAACATGGATTTTTTTGAAAGTTTCATATCTTACAAAGACTTTGTTCAAAACTTCTGACTTTGTTCTAATGAAATCCCTT